GTTAACTACACATACATAAGCAAGCAACGAACCAGAATTTTTATCTAACTGTATTCTCCACTGCTCGTCGATGCGTCGTCGTGCACAATTTTCTTGGACGGAGAATGGACTTACAGTGATATTCGCACTGCGTTGCTGATGATGATAAAATAATAGTGTTTCGAAAGCGTGTATGTATCTATGTTCCTCCTCAAGGATGTTGAAGTTGATGTGCATTTTATTATCCTGCTCCTCTACGTAGAGTCAGTCATGTCAGCATAGTCAAGCACTAATGGTAGCGAGTCCGCGTTGTGTGCACACTTACCTCCATCGAGAGACACACATATATCATCATCATAAGACGTAGAGTCAGATTAATAATCCGATTTAGGCCGGAAATTGAAGAAGGAATTAGAGAAATTTTGTCGTACATTATTTTATGGAATTTCTCACGCGAAACTTTCATACATACAAAACTAATGTGCATTGTGTTTGGTTTTGCATTGTTGTTGCGAAAAAGTTAAGTGAACTCTACATGTACGTACATATACGTACCTGGATACACTACATGTGATTACGAGAGGCTTTAATTCTCATCAGGTTATTAGTTGTGTGAGTGTCTTTTCAACATTTCTTGTACTTATTTTATCGAGAATAATGTGGCTTTCGGACATTAAGTACTGCTGGTGGTTGTGTTGAATTTCTCTCATTTTCTGTCTGTGGTTTTGCTGTTCTACTATTTACTGGGTGATTTGTGTTTACGGTACTTTGCGGATTTTTTTTCTGTTATATTTTTTACTCCAAGTTTTATTTTACCTACTGAAAAACAGTACGGCTATATAACTTTATTGTGAGTAGAAGAAGAAGAATTTTTGAATTGAGATCCAGCCAAAGTGAGTGCAAACTATATAGAAAACTTGTCTGTGCAATTAATCAAAGACATCGGCCAAGGCTGAATGAAACGAGGTTTGTTTATTAATTTAATGGCGATTGAGCTGGTCCTGATTAAAGCTCTAAAAAGATGTGTTGCAAACCGGTAGTTGAATGAGGGTGATATTTTGGCGAGATTAGAAAGTCGGATTTTTTGGATTTTCAACTCTGTGGTCATCATTCTTAATAGGGTTTGCATTTAAGATTTGGATGGATGGAAAATCATGGAACAAGTTTTACGGTAAAACAACAACTACTAGTTCATGTTCATAGTCGTTCATTTTTCATTTTCCTTGTTGACTCACGGAGAATACTAAATAACATAATCTCGAGTTTGTTAGCCTCTGCAAAAATTGGTGTAGAAGAAAGTATGTTAAATATGCTATATACAAAATCTCGTAAAATTAATTTCATTTTTCTCCTCCTCATCCCCTTCTCTCTTGACCACCACGATTACAAGAGTAATATCCAGTCATGCAATTTATTTACTCATAATAACGCGCAAAACAATTCACCACTATGGTAAACTATGTCGAAATTAAAATGCATCGCATTTTCACAATCGACGAGCAGCTTCAATACTTGTTTGGCAAGTCTCATCATCATCTCCTCTCGTATACATTTACTGTTGAAGTATCCAGTTCAAGATTTGCATATTTTATTGGATTTGGCTCTACCGTTGGTTTTTGTGATGTTAAGTGGTTGGTTAGTAGAGAAGTTGTCAATAGGAAATTGCAATTCGGTGATGCAGGCAGGTCATCCTTTCTTTTTTAAATATTATTATTATGCACTCTGTCCTTCCAACAACAAGAAGAACAATTTGCAAAGATTTCTCCACCTCCTCATTCATTACATTCTGTATTCGTCTCATTTCATGGAATTCCAATCATCGCCACCTCATTTTCTAGTACTTGTTTAATTAACCACGTTTTTTGTTTGCTCTTCTTCACTCTTTGCTCTCACACACAACAGATGATGCAGTATTAAAGCAGTTGTGGTCGTTAGTTAGCAAGTCCTAATTCCATAGGGGAAGAAGTAGAAGAAGAAGATCCGTTATCTTTTTTCTTCTCCTTCTGGCTGAACCAACATTGACAGATGGATGGAATGGAAAAGCTATAAAGCATAAGAATAAGAACGAGCAGGTACATTCATACGAGTGGTTTGCAATTTACAACAAGTGGCCTGCAAATCAGGACGATGAGAGAGAGAGACTGGTTTCAAACATGGAGTTAAAAACTCCAACCAACGTTGCAAATGGGACACAGCGTAATAAATTAGCAAGTTGCGAGAGAAAATAGAGGGTTGATGGACACAAGAAATATCTATGTGGGGGTAGTTTACTGTTAGTTATGCTGTGGAGCGTTGTTACAAGTCATTAGCCAAGGTTGTCCATTCACGTCGTCGGATGGAAGGTAAAAAAGGATGATGATTATGATTTGCAATCTCAACTCTTTCTTGACGATGACGACTTTTCGTGTGTGTATACGTGATTGTCTAGAAGGGAAAAGTAGGTCGATTCGTTCGGTGTGTGAGTAGATTTGTGATGGAGATTCCGCTACGTATTATCAAATTCTTGTTCTTGTAAGGACTTTTTTAGTAGAAGAGAGGGTGATCTGGTTGTGTTGTGGTGGAAGAAAAGTAAGGGATGAAATTTAGTTGGTGGTGCATTTCCTTGTATTTAGCAGTCCAGTTCCATAAGTCTCAATTTCCCCGCTGCTTTCTTTCACGGATGTACCTTACCTAATTTTGTTTGCATGGATGGTTTTTACGTAGCGTAGAAATTATATATTTCTCACGTAAGGTCAAGAAACAGGAACTCGAATTTCTATTCATTAAGAATTAAATACCATTACGCGATTAAAATTAAAGCGCCATTAACCTAACCATCTTTTCTTGTGTTGTTGTTGTTAAAAGGATGCAAAATTACAAAAAAGGGGTTGGTTAATTCTGTTATGTTGGTCTTTTTACCATGTCCGTGAGACAGAAAGAGTTCCGTTGTTCCTGGTGGTGAACTTTTATTTACAAATCCACAAATGGGCTGGACGTAGTGAACTGATTAGAAAAAGCAGGCACATAAATAATACGAATATAAATTGCGACTTGTTCTTTCTTCCTATATTATAAAACATTATGAAAAGGACAAGAAACTCGGTCAACCACGTCGTCGGTGAGATCTATGTCCATCTTTTTCTGCGGTATTATGTACATATGGTGGCGCTAATGAATCTCTTTCTCTCTCTCGCTCTCTCCATAATATAAAAGAGATTTATTTTTCTGCAATTATTAAATGTATGACACCGCTGAAAAATAGTTGCATGTCCATCATGTCATCCATCCTCCTTTTCGGCCTCCTGTCTAATGGACAATTTACCGTTTCCTTTACAAGAATATAATGAGCACACTGCTAATTAGTATCCAAAGGAAAATGCTATGCAATGATGTGAAAAATCTCACTTTGCCTCCACCTCCACTTCCTCCTCTGTGTATTTCTCCTTTAAAAAAACGCCGATAAAATAATGGACAGGTTTGGTTTCTAGTCTAATCCTAAATACTATAAGCTCTCATCTTAATTACTAAAGAAAAGAAGAATCCAAATCCGTGCAAATGTGGGTTTACTACAATGCGCTCAATTTAAGGAAAATAGAATAAGACACGAATTCTGTGTGACAGGTGCATCGCATTTCACTATTATGCATACGTACCCCATGGATGGAAGGTACATGCTTATTTTGTCTGTGTATATCACATTTGCAAAGATTTTGGAATAGCAAATACCAAGGAGAATGGAATAATGCGGGCTGGTGCTGCAAAATGCAAATGTACCGTTCATTTTTTCAGTCCGTGTATAATTCCATTTAAATTTGGAGAGAGAGAGAGAGAAATATTTGAATGAGTAGTGTGAGAAACAGGTTTAGCTCCTTAAGTTCACGTCTCAAGAGAGAGAGAATAATGTACTTAACATAGATGACAATTAAGGATGTGGGATTTATTCTATGTGTATAGAATTCGTAATGCCTATCCATCTCGGCGTCGTCGTATAGTACTTGAAGTATGTAGTATTTAGTTTTAAAAAAGGTGGAAACTGCAAAAGTGGAACGAGACGAAGAAGAAGTTGCAGATTTTTCAGAGAGGTACAAACAGCATGAAATGATACAAAATAAGGAAGGGGGACTGGAGAGACGTGATGTTTTAAAAGCATGAGGGGATCTCGAGTTTAAGAAGAAGATGAGAATTATTACTACTCTACGTGTATATTCTGTGTGCATGCATGGATCAGTATCTTTTTTAGGACTGAATATGTACTGTAAGGGGTTTAATAGCGTTGTTGGCTGATTGTTGGCTGTGCTGTGGCTTGGCTTGGCATGGCATGTGAATAAGAAATGGATAAAAGAATGAGAATCCTGTTAGATTGTTAAGGTGATTTTGCCAAGAGTATAGTAGTTCTGCCAAAGAAGACACGGCTGGGGATGCCGTGCTTGCGATGCGCTCATTCATGGTCAAAATACAGTTAGACTTTGCCAACCTGAAGAAAGTGCAGTTATCCATGTTGGAATTAAGAAGAAGAAGAAATGATGACTGCTTTTCTTACGTTGTTTCTTCCTTACTACTTTTTACTGCTGCTGCTTTAACTAATGTTGTTGTGCCCTCCTCCCTCTCCCTCCCTTTAATCGAAACGGTGACGACGAGAGCACACAGCGTGCAGTGATAGTTAGTGGTTCAGTTCAGGGGATGCGAATTATTATTACGGAATTGTTGGATTCAGGATTTTTCACTTGTTGGTCTGGTTCAAGTTTTTTATACGATTCGCATTCTCCGGTTCCTTCTCTCGTTAAATGCTCGCCTTCTTCTCTTGGCTGCTTATGTAACACATTCACGTAAAAGTTAGCGATATACATGATGATCAGGAAAGGATTTCTCTCCTCTTGGAAGACTCGTCGTCTTTCTGGGGTTTAGCGAGGCAGGTAATGGTCTCGCTTCGGCAGTGGTTCAGTCTGTTGTGGTGGCGAAGATGATGATGACGGGTCAAAGTTGTGGTGGTGTTGTTGGCTTCTGTTGTGCGATCTAACTGGAATGTTTTTATATTCTCGCAGGTTTTCGACCTTTCACTCATAATAATACGGACATTTTTCCGTCTATCTACTACTCCTACTCACAAGTGATATCAAGTGAACGTGTGCCGCGTGTCGTCGGTCAAGAGTGCTCTTGTGTTTATCATTCAGTTAATGGAGAATAAGTCGCCCGGAAGTGGGGGCGGAGGTGGATTAAGTTACATTACGTCGAGCAGTGCGCCGTTGATGAACATTGGAGAAAATAATAAACTCGGAGGCACAGTTATGAACGGAGGCAGCCCTGACTCCACGACGCCGAAGGAGAATTCGGTGAGCAGGGAGGACATGCAGAGATCCGCGCCTTCCCCCGCAGCCTCTGTCGATAATCACGGGGGTGGCGGAAGTGCTCCCAACATGTACAGTTTAAAGTGGAACACGCAGCTACTCTCCCTCCAGAGGAGTTTGGCAAATTTGTGGGACAGCGGGATTGGGACGGATGCCGTCCTCCTGTGTCAAGGGACGCCACTCCCGGTGCACAAAAGTACGATATCAATATTATTATATTATATTATTGTTATTATTACTAACTATTGTTATCCTTTTATTATTACAGTCGTCCTTACAGCAGCGTCCCCTTATGTAGCGGCAGTTGTCCAGGTAAGAGATTGTTTTTGAATTTTTTTAATACGCTGGTAAAATGATCAGGAGCGGAATGGAATGATGGACTGTTTTATGAATTAAGTGAGACCTGTTTTTGCAATAATTTTTGCATATTGCGAAAAATTAAATTTAGGAGGCCGATATCAGGTTTCATATCTTGACAGCTTTGTGGCGTGGATTTGTTGGTGTCCACATATTAGATATTATGACATGCATGGATTTTGCACATGTTAAGCTAAGGAGTTCACTGATTTGGAACACGCTGTTTTACAAGTGTAGCAAAGCAGTTGGAAGGGGGCGATGCACCTCTTTTCTTTACATCATCATGGAATGGAACGATCTCTCTCTCGCATTTTGTAACGCCACGCCACGACGACGACGGCATACAGCAAAGCAAAAGTTATCCTGAATAGTAGTCTGGTCTCCTTCGATGATGATGATGATTCGCATCACTCGGGATGTATATAAATTCGCAAATTCCGAGCATGATGTTGTTGTTGACTCGATTTTCGAACAGTTTGGCTCATGACTCCTCGGAATCAAATGCGTTGCGTCTTTTGATAAATTTAGACTCCAGTTCGTCCATGAGTGGGGTATGTGTATGGTGTATAGCACGATACGGGAGGAGGATGATGACGACGAGGTAACGTAACATCTCTCTATAAGTCTACTTCCTCTATGCGAGTGTTTTTAACCCGAGGACACGGATGGCTCGTGTGGCGTGGCTGGCATGGTGGCTCGGTCTCTATTTAGGCCAGGACGATTTCAGATTTGCACTTGTACAAAAAATGCGCAAACTTCGGTATGGATGGATTTTATTTTGGAGACTTTTACCAGCAGAACTGTAAGAAATGGAACTCACGACATAAATACCCATGGCCGCACATCATCATGGAGCGGATGGAATAAGTGGATCGGTTATAAATAAATGTTCCGAGCTCTTTTTCCATCTCCATGAAAAAATGTGTGAATATGTATTCAAAGGAAAAGTTTGCATATTGCAAGACGCCATATAGCAAAGTAAATATGCAATGGTGGTTTAGTTAGTTTGCAAATGCTGGAGGCAAAAAAAGATGATTCTCTCTCTTCTGGTTTTGCGCAAGATTATGAAAGGCCAGGTTTGTGTGTTGTTAACGAGTTTTTTAAAGCAGGTTTTTGATGGGTCTTCTGTACTAAATGAAATGCTGTATTGTGTGGGTTCAACTTGATGAGGTCTTGAATTCGTACGAGAGAGCCAGTTCATAATTTCAATTCCATATTAGCTAAAACCAACATGATTGTGTCCAATAACAGGCAACTGAACTCCCTTCCTGTTCAGATACTAGGTACTTTCAGTCAGCCATGTCATACATAGTTTTTACCCACGACTGGAATTTCTCATAATGTTACTTGTTTGCCGTCTTGTTGGCATCTTTCCATTCAGTTACTGAAAAACCCACCTGGATTGAATTGCAGTCGACTTTTTAGATGAGTCAAGTCAAGAATGATTTGTCAGTTCCAGTCTGGTGGAATTCCACGTAAAATGAAAAACAAAGACTTGCGTGGTAGGAATTAATTATCGAACCTGGGTAAACGTTTACTGGAGAAAGCCAAGTAAATTGTTAGTCATTGGGTAGTAAGATCTCGAAGGAAATCATTTTTTATATAGGTCTGACTCCTCATTTGCTTATTTATTCTTTGATTCCATTGCATAAATACTGATTCCAGAGCTAACGTATTTCTTCGAATTTTATGACACATCCCATCTGACGATGGATGGAAAAAGTCATAAATTTTTTGCTTCCGTCTTATGTTCACCACCATATTCCAGCTTTCGGATGAACAGTATCCATTTCAAGACGGGAAATGCTCTTCTCCATGAAATGATTTTTGTAAAGTTTTCTTTCGAGGTGCACGTGTGTCCTCGATACAAAACCGAAAGGGGAATTATGGTTTACAGAAACAGACTTACTTGAAAATGAAAAGAATTCTCTCTCAGATTTATACATGAGCTGTGGTCGGATCGGATCCATCCAGATCCAGAGAGAGAAAGAGACGGTTTGACAGAATTGGAACTTTAGCCAAATAATTTTCTAGAGAGGAGAGAGGGTGCCATGCGATGCGATATATAATAATATCCATCTTTCATGGAGGAGCGGATGCCCCCTCACTCTCGCTCTCCAACACTTGCTCTATTTTAAAAGCTAAAGTTAGTAATAAAATAAATGTGTGTCTTGCTCAATTCTCCATAACCTTATAGTGACGATGATGCTGGGTAAAGTCCGGAGTTCGGGTGCATAGTCTGTCATTCCATTCCTCCTCTGAAAGATCTGTTTCATTTCCGTCTGGTGTAACTATTATTCCCTCGTGGATGATGACGACGAGGACGAGGATGATAATGCTTATTTTTCCATGAATTCATGTATGGCTCCTGACTGATAATGATAATTGTGGTCTGTCCCAAAAATAGACAATGGCCCAAGGATCACATCTCATGCCGGTGATTGTAGTTGACATCCCCGCAGAGGCAGGGAAAGTAAGTAGTTGATTGTATTTATTGTAATAGTTTAAGAAAAATGAGTTATTTAACAATTATTTTTTGTTCAGGCCCTGCTCAGTTTCCTATACTGTGGCGAAGCCCATGTCCCCGTCACCGTTATCCCACATCTCGTCATTGGTGCTAAGTTTTTGGGAATTTCTGGATTTGGTGACCCCGTAAGTGCTCAAATGGAGTTATACATATTTGATGAGCTGATTTGATACTAATGAATATTTTTGCATGTTATTTTCCAAGGGCGTACTGGAATCTCTCACAAGTATCGTACCTGAATCAGTAATGACCCCGGATAAGACGCCACCCCCTTCGTGCGACTCGCCTCGTCCCGACACCCACGACTCTCCATCCATCCGCCTCCCCCACTATCAGTTACCAACCGTGTCCGTTCCACATCTCATGTCTTCCTCTTCAGTACAAATTAACAATCACACTTTCGGTGGGAAAAAGTCAGAGCGTGATCGCGAGACACAGATCCAATATCCTGGAAACGTCCTCCAGTTTAAGACTCATCAACATCTCCAAGCCCAAATTGGGATGGGGGGCAATAATAATAAGGCTCGTCTCCCTTATCCGTCCCCATACTCGACCTCGTCCACAGCAAGCTCTGCCTCTTCTTCGGGAGGTGAAGTAATCAATCTCAGCAATAACAAGAACAGGACGAGTGGTGGATCTGCTTACAGCCCGTACTCGAGAAGTAGTGGGGGAGCAAAATCACCCAAATCAACGTCTTCCATGTCCTCATCTGGAGGTGGGAGCACAAACGGAAATGGAATATTTATCGGAACAACGAGTATTTTGGACAATCTGTTAAAGAACCCTAGAACTCATTTGGAGGCAGCCATTGCAGCAGCGGCGGCAGCTGCGGCACACAATGCTGCTGCTGCTAATGAGGCGAATGATAACAACGACATGGTTCAATACGAGGCTGAAGGTTATCTTGAAAATTGTAGATCATCCCCACACAATTTGACCGCCGCACATTTGCGACAGCTACAAGAACAGCACAGCAAAGGTCAAGGACATCCCCCGTACTATTGTTCTCCTGGAAGTGCGGGCCATCCCGCTTTAGTTGGTGCGAATGGTGGAGACGATGATAACAATATGGAAATGACCATGACGGAGGATAGCACACCAATCCCTGCCCATTTATTAGAACCAAATGTGGAGTATCATATCGGAAATGAATATCCTGATCGGTATGGAACGTTGCATAATCCTTTAGCGGATTTAGCAAAGGTATGGACATATTTTTATTTATTAAGAACTGTAACTCACAAAATTTGAGTAAAAAACTTTATGAAAAATTAACGTATTATTATTCGAAAAAGGTGGCCGCCGCTTCAATCAAACAGCAACCCACTACAGGAGGGGGAGGAAATAAACGAGGAAGTAAAAAAGTTCCGCAACAGCAACAGGTCGATGGCGAGATCACTTCGACGGGAAGAGCAGGTGGGGAAACAGCGACACCTCCAGCAAAACCTAAACCCAAGAAGAATGAAGCGATTATTTGTGATATTTGTTCCAAGAAGTTCAGCAATGCGTACAATTTGAGGGTACGTATAAAATTTTAAGTTTAAACAATAAGGCAATGAATTATTTATAATTGTGTTTTTTCTGTTTATAGGTTCACATGGAAGGTCACTCGGGACAAGTTTTCGTATGTTCTGTTTGCAGTCATGCATCGAGGTCGCGAGATGCCCTAAGAAAGCATTTTGTAAGCTTACATGTTTTCCACTTAAATACTAGTTTTTATTTGTTTTTACTAATCCTGGAATTATTTTAGGCATATCGTCACCGGGAGCTGTGGATATCCGGTATGTCTGCCTTTAGGAAGAACGTACCTGGGCGAAAACTTAGCATTTGTAGAAATAACAACAACACGGATGCCGTAAACAACAATGTCAACGTGAAAGGGGAACCAGTCGAAGGGTCGGATGGAACTTCAGTAGTGGACGCGAACGGTAATATCAACATTCGCGGAGGAGATGGAAGCCTAACAATTTCAGAAGCAAAATGACGAAGAAACAAACTCCGTCCAACTTTGTTAACTTGTATCATATAGTAAATTGTCAATACTTAGTAAGTAGTTCAACATGTAAAGCAACTTTAAAATCCCCACAACCAACTAGATATTAGATATTTATATTAAGAATACACACACACACACCATGCATTTTTAGCAGTGGAAATTATAGAATACTTAGAACCTTATCAGCTTATTTTTTAATAACGAAATCCATCGTCTTTCCACAAAATATTACATACATTGTATATATACATTTTAACTCTTGAACAAGCGCAGTAGCAGTTTTTTTATATTAATTTTGACGAATATGTATGTTTTAGTTGTATTAGTAATTGATGCGAAATGGTAATTTTCAAAGAAGGGTGAAAAGTGTCAAATATTGTACAGATTTATTTAGTAAGAAGATATACAGTTCATATTCTTACATAAATATTTTATAGCAGCAGAGTTATAATAATAACGTTGTATGTATGTATGTATCTATAATGTATGACACAAGTACATATGTACCTTGAACCGAAACAATAATAATGTTAGGAGATGAATCGATAAGTTAACTACTAATTTACACCAGTTAGTTGTTTAATATGAATACGGGAACGCGATTACAATATGTGCATAAATCCATCATGAAACTTATTAGGAGATTTATTAATCTATGCAATCCTTGTCAATTATTATATATTGTTATATTTTATCAAAAAAAACAACTAATTATTAAACACAGCATAGATGCATACTCAGAATACTGCCTTTAACGAAATGAAGAACGAATCTCCAGTCAGTTAGAGAATACAACGATCAATTATAGATAAAAATAATTAACAAAAAAATAGTAACACAACAGTTCAAGACCACCGCATTGTCGACATAAAAAAATATGTATGGGTAGGGAAATGGATAAAACAAGTGTCTTATTTGCCTTATCAGAGAGAGGAACGTTAATAACTATGAAACCATCATGCACAGACGAGAACGATATGTGATTTAATAATAATAATAATATTTAATAATAAATATTTTGCCTCATTGGATTAATTAATTAATTTGTGAATATTCAATTCACCTAAATTACTTATTTGTACTCTATCTGAGAGATGAATACCAAAATGTGTACCTTAAATCATGATTAACATTTATGCTAATGTAGTAGAGCATTGGAATAGTTATGGATAGCTAGATTTGTGTGAGTCAAGGGCGGACAGTGGCACGTTTATTATACTAATTTTTTCATATGCAGGGCAGCATTGTTTGTCTCAAATTGTCTGTCTCGTCGTCGTTGGAATTATATTTTGTAATAATTAACATTGTTAAAGTCAACTATCAAAAAGACCAGGAAAGCTGAAATGTCTCGTGATTAAGAAACAATTCGTCCAGAAATATAATAATTAATTGACCAGTTTGTATTATTTACTAGTATCATGATTTGGGAACTATATAACGAATTTTATGAAAAGAATTAATACTCAAATTATACAGAAGAATGGTTGTGTTTTTGCTTTGTTTGGTATTTTGTGAACATTGGTTGCAATAAAATATAGCTTTATTAGTATAATATTAGAATTAAATATTTTCTCAGTTCAATGTAATTAGAAGCTTATTATGTCGAATATACATGTAATTATTGATAGGAATTTTATTAGCTTTGTTGACAATAACGTTGGGTGCGAAATGTCCCAAAAAATAGTTTAATTAAGAACGTAACGATTATCATGAATTATCGAAAGAGTATTTATTCTATTCTTGTACTTCGAAAAATGATGACGACAAGCCGCACAAGTTCAGTCGACAAACATAATAGCTGGCTAAATAATCTCAGAAATGTTTAATTATTATGATCGAGTCTAGACAGATTCACCTAGGTTTATTATTTTATTAATTAATTGAGGAAGTAATGGTACATGTTTTAATAAATAGATCATAAGTACCTCATAAATACTTAGTTGTTGTTGTGATGTGACACTTATTTTACGGAGAAGAATGGATGGATGGATTGATTATTTATGATATGCAACTGAAACTCTTAATCATTTAGCAAGGAGAAAGGAATCTGAAAAGGAGAGAAAGCTGGTATCCGTGTTAGTGTTTTAAGTATGTAACCGAGTTATGTTGTATGATCTACATAGTATTGAATAAAATTTTGGTTGTGTTGTCGAAATTTTTGCAAGTTTTGATCATGCCCATTTTTCACCATGCATCAAAGTATATTTACGGATGATACATTTCCGGGTCATTTTTCATGTCATTTAATTTCTAATACAGTATATTTCCACGAATGAATGAAAATAAGATGCGAAATTTGCATCGATACTTTCAAAGTATTTTGTGAAAGCTAAGCAGCTATGGTTTTCAGAAGTTAGATATCTTTTGATTATTTTCAGTAGGGGCAAGCGCGAACGCTGTGCCCCGTGGAAAAAATTTTGCGCCCGAGTTATCCACGTTAGGGATAATCGCAAGCGTCAACCTCACCGAAGTGCAATGGAGGGTCTCAGCCTGGAGAAAGCACCTTCTGGATCGTGCTATTCTCTACGCCAGGTAAGTGAAGATCACTCTGCGCTCACCCAAGCCCTTCTCTGGCACCTGCCGCCACCAAATGTGTCCCGCTTTTCTGCATCGCCTAACTTCGACCTTAACTTTTCCGAGTGGGATAAATTACAAAATATGTTCTTGAAATGTATACCTTTCTGTTAGTGCATTCATATTTTCTAAATGTTGAGTGGTTCGGGAGATATTCGCAGTTTATGCGAATGCGAATGTTGTAACATAATGGATAAAAAGGGTAACTTGCTGTCCGTTAGCACATCGCTCGCGAACGCCTCAACATATCCAAATGCAGTCTTCACCATCATGTTTCTAATTTTATGACCTCGATAGAGTTCGAAAGTGGGGTCTGCGACAATAAGTCACGACAATCTCCATTACACTAGTTATTTTGGTTCAATTTTTAATCCGTATATAGGAATATAGGATATGAATATATGAATCATTGGGAATGTGAATCAATCAAAAACAGTATACGTGTACACACATCAGTCACATATATAGTTAACTTTATTAACATAATATGGCTTATTCATTAAGTATTTTAATAATGATGAAATATTTAATTTAGTAAAGCAACACAATTATAAATATTTTGAAGACTGTTTAGTATAATATGTTATATGTCAAAATTGGAAATTATACATACTTCTACTAGTAGAAGTATGGAATGACAGATTTATAATATTTATAATATTATTTATAATATTATATATTATATGTATATTATATATTATATTTATATTATTATATTATTATTATATTATATTATATATTATATAATAGGTTATATATTATAAAATTATTTTTTAGTAGGGAATGACATAAAACGAATTACATATAGATTGATTGTTTCCAACCCGTTGTTACATTAATATATATGTAGGATATTGTATTATTCGTTAATTAATTTTATTAAGCGTCTGACTTAACGAAACCATTTCCAATATATAATAATTGCTAAGATCAGCACCTCAATCACAATAATCCCTAGAAGAATTATCTTGTTGTAAATCATGTTTATATACATGGAGCGGAGGATTTTTCGACTTCTTGAAATCTCAACATCCGTGTCCACCAAACGTGTTTTTGTCCTCACTAACGTTTCCCTTTGCGTCCCCAACTCTCCGATAACCTCATTTCCAATCTGTTCAGTCTCAATTGCGACAGCAGTAGATCGAGCGATACTGTCCGACGTGCGCTCAAGGGCTCTCTGACCTTCTAAAACTGTGCGTCTCGGGTCGGGCATGTAGTTCCTGTCATTTCAAGTATAATCAGTAAGTATAAGATCCTACGTCAAAACTTAAGGAATATTTATTTACTTCCGGTCTCCGAAACTTCCTAACACGCCGTGATATCGGTTATTCAGCTTGCTCACATTTTGTCGGTGGGTGCTTATCTTTGCTGTTAACTCATGTCGATAAGGGACAGGAGCAAGTCGGGCCTCGGATTCTAGTTGGCGCAATAAATTTTGACCTTCTTGCAGGTCTCGTTCGATCTCACTTGTCAACTTTTTCCTACTTTCACCAAACGGGCTGCCCACTAACTTGTTATCAATTCGGGACTCGATCGTGTCACACAAGTTCTGAAGTTCTTCCTCCAAGGTTTCAAACATTTCTGAAGATGTCATCTTGTATCTGTAGACTTTTCAATTAGACCAGTAGTTGAACCTGCGAGTGAAAGCAATATGCAATAGTGTGTAATGCAACAGTATAAGTTTATTAAATTAAAGCAGATGAAATTGGGAAACTCACCTTATTTTCTGGAAATTACACCGTAATTACAGATGTATTGCGTAAATTCGCACCTTATTGTCAGTCAAAATCAAAAAGGGAAGATTAGCCAAAGGTGTGCTGCTACATTGTATATACATATGTCAAAAAAATAAATAATAACACATGTTGAATGCGTAGTGCGTACTACTAAATAGTACAGCTGATTTTACAACTCGTCTAAATCTTAAAATAGAATACAAATAGTTAGCTTGACTATTTATATTTATTATTGTGTATAAAATTTAAAAATACCTAAAACGCCGTCAAAGCTTTACACTTTTATTCGGAATGCGTGGTGAAAGTTTCACCGTGAAACTCTGTGCTTTCACTATATTTTTCTTACTTTATACGAATACTTTCACACTATTTTTCAATTTATTATTATTATTTTTACCTCGCTTAAAAAAACAAATGTTAATGAATTACAGATCATCTGGTCGAATAATATAAAATGTGCGTCACAGCCAAAATATCACCACCCTCGTCTCATCTCATCCACCACCACATAAACTCATTCGTGTTTACTTTTTATCCTTCACGTATACTTACAGTTGTTGAAAGGATTTTGCGATTGGGATACGCAGAAGAAGTTTGCAATACATATTGAAATGAGTGTGCAATTTTGCCAATCTACCAACTAGCCAACAACAACAGAGCAGTAGTAGGGATTTGAGGCTGAAGTTCAGCTCAAGGATATAATTTTGCAACAAATAGCACATTACATTAGACAGACAGACGTAATCACACAGCAGATATGATCATATGGTGAGAATAAGTCTGTAGTAAATAAAAAGAAGCTGGTAAAGTTTCTCGTTTTAAAAAGCAATACATAAATAAAGTAAAATTAGTACAAAGAAAAGGTAAAAAGTCTTTGTACATGTTAAAAAGTCGCAATAACACACATAAATACGCAAAAAAGTGTACAAAAAGTCCACCCACATCGACTGTAACTAGATTAGTTTCGTACGACGCATTTTAACAAAGAACTAAACCAAATTTACTTTCTGGGAAATTCCTTGTTAATAACAAAGGATTGTGAAAGTGGTGAACTCAAATCTGGACCTGATAATTGTGGATCCCTAAAAGATGTAAGTTTTAATTTTCTATTGTCGACTTCAAACCTCCACAAAAAAATCATCTCACTACTTTCTTAATTGTATTCTCCGTGAAAATACTTTACCCATTTCATTTGTTATTACATAAAATGCAACCTCCCATTACTTTAATTTAACTGACCCTGAATTGCGTCACATTTGTCTACAATTTGTGCAGACTATTTTAGGCATGTGTAAAGTTTGAAAGGTTACAGTAAGAGAAAGGGAGAGTATGACAAAGAACTATTTATATAGGTGCTAAATAAATAATAACTCCCTAGTAAATATTTAGTATTTTATCATCATTATCATGTATATATGTTGTATGTACGAGTCCAAAATCTCAACCAAAGAGTCAAGTGGATATCAAAAATGAGCTGCTAATGTAAATATCGAATGATAAATGTAACATGTATAATGAACGTGCATGCTCACTCCGCCTGATATCCATTGACCTTTTCCAATCAAGTTTGAGGAGTCCGTGTTGCTCGTGTGCATTTGCATTGTACGGAGTACATTGGCTTGGCTTTAACTTTGTGATGCTGCTGCATTCAATTTCTAATCGAATCGAACGAAACCACTATTGACTATTATTCTCAGAATACATCGTTGTTTTCTTTGTTGTTGGTTTTACAGCTAATCTGCTGCTGAACTAATACATTTATCTGCTGTCCTCTCCGTCTGGAGGATAATTGGTCCAGATTTTAATGAAATAAGATAATAAAATGCGTCGTTGTGTCTGGTTTGTTTTTTTTGTAGCGGAAATGTTTTTGGAAAAAAACTTGTATAAAAAATCATATCCATTTTTCAAAGACAACGACCATAACGTAAAGCGTAGTTTTCCTTGGCTCTTATCTCATGTACGTACATTCAACATTGGTTTCTTCTTCCTTTGTTGTTGTGCCAATTTCGAGTCCAACTTTTTGGCAGGATGCCAAAGTGGATTTTGAACGTGAAAAATGACAGGCTATGTAAGTATGTTAAAAAATGTGAATATCATATTTTTTATGTAGCTGGAAGGGTATTACGAACCTACAGTGCAGAATTCATTTAGCCCGAGCGTTTGTTAAATATTTTCTTTTATTTGACACCATTTTTGAAGTATTTACAAAATTTGTATTTTACCAGTGGGGCTCGTTTCTTTAAAATCTTTGACTTCCAAAGTTACAACAGTTACATAAGCCCTGACTCTGACTAAAAATTCATAAGTGCAGAAGTTAGCACCCATGAATTAGATGGCTTAGGTACAAAATCTTGTCCGATCCAGTTAAGATTAAGATCGTCTGCCATGGCATAATTAATTAATTGATTGGTTAATTAGTTTGAATTAATCATTAAGAGAGCCAGCCTATCTTGGTGGACGTTTGACCTATGTATGGTGAGACTTGATTTAGGTAATGACTCCATATCAGATGGCATTATGAATGACATTCACGATTTCAGTTTCGCAAATATCGTTGCATGTAATCTGGAGAACATGGAGAAATTTCCCTTATTGTCATCATGATCTATTGATCGCATTGAAATAAATACGTATTATGACACGACGAGGAAATGTCAACCATCAATAATAATTAATATTACATAATGACATTGTTGTAATGCTCTTCATAAGGATGTATTTAACATCAATGTAAGTATGTACGACCTTATTGGCCTTGGATAAATATAAGTCTTTAGTTTTTAACAAATATTATAAATCTATACAATTCCTTTCCACACGTGATGCATGTTGTTGCCATTGTTTTCACTAATTTTAATAACACTGTTGTTGCTGCACACTAATTTCGTATATCTGGTCTGAACTTGTGAGTATTTTTCGACTATAACAGTATGCTTTTCACATAATTCAATCCAGTAGAAGAGTAGAAATTCTGGGAAAATAACAGCACATCAATTTTTACTTGTCATTATCAATTATTGTCTTACATAGTGTCAAATTAGTGTCTATTTATTAACAATCCATGATAAGTGCGTAAAGTATCATGCAATGTTTGAACTATTCGTCATTTCATTACCTCATCATCACGCGTGAGAATCCCTGAGATTAATAAAAGTCAAACAAAAATTATTGTAACAAACGATAAAAAGTGGTATTGCGTACATACATACAAACCAGCAACGTTTGGAACAAGGACTCTCGAACCGTTCATTTTGAGGTCATTCATATTTACTTTAGCAGAATAATGATACTAATAACTGAGCACCCAGACAGGAATATTTCGACAAGTGTGTGCAGTTCCAATATTATTATTGTGAAACAGATACCGATAATAAGTATAAGTGAGTTTAAAGTATTTAATGAAAGTACGGCTTGGGTTTAATAATAAATATGTACTAATACTTGTACCTTTCCAATTTTTTTTACATGCACACTTGTACATACACGTTAAATATAAGTGGTAAAGCATGTAATAAGTATGTAGCTGTTTGTCAACCCAAACGTCTTATTTTCTCACCCTACATTTTGGTCAAGCTTTATAATCCCGGAATTATTTGACGTTTCCATTATCCAATTATGTTTATATTTGCTTAATGGTTTAAAACAAGGTTTGAAACAAGTCTTTTATTATCTAGTGAACAAATAAAGTCTGACATTCCTCTCGTATGAGTCATTCGTCATAAATAGAACAATGTTGCTTTACAAATATACATGTGCACGTGAGTGGTTGGTGATAAATGGCTAGAAAATTTGTAAAATTTGGTATTCCTTTGAGTGACTCAAATTGAGTCATGTGGTGAACAATCATTTGCATCTTTTTAAATACAGGAAATCAAAATCTACACCCAAATCCTTGACCAAGTTCGTACTATACTTTTTTTAGAATGAAAAGTTCATTCTGAAAATGAATGAAAAGTCAAAACAAATCGGCGTGGTAAAAGCAAAATGTGCCCTTGATTAAGAGATTGAATGAATAAGGCGATGCATCGTAAATCGTAAGAATTCATGGTTGATCTTATCCTGGCCCTGGCCCAGCTTTGATTTTTAGTGACTGGAAATCGTACACTTGTAAAATAAGCTTATTTTCTCCAATATCAGTGTGTCATTTATTTACTAGTACATAGATCAGAAGACTTACTACATACAAGTTAGATATCAACAAGTTCTTACCGAGGGGGGATATATGTACGCAATTCTTAATTCCCTGACCATTTTTGACAACCAACAAGTAGTAATGCATGCAAATGATCAAGTGTGTCCTGTTGAGACCATATAATAAACACACAATCATCGTCTTGTTATTTTATCAGCATAAATATAACATGATTTCAATATGATAAATAGGCCTATAGTTTGATGCATTTGGCTCATATTTTAATTTGGGTAAAATATGTTTAAACCTAATGTGAGAATATCTGTAAATATGTTGATGGAGAGAAAATCCAGTTTTCTATCCTGTTCGAGACGTTTATCTCTTGTGTACATAAATGCTTACCAACTTTAAAGCTTAAACGGGAATAAGTCATGCCGTCAAGTCGTCCTTCTCCAGGACGCAGTTTCATTTCATACTTATTATTTTGGTTACATACTGACGTATGCAAGTTATTTGGTTGACCATTCGACAAAAGTTCTCAGTCACGGGTTTCTTCTCGACGAGAGAACTTTACTCTTTCTGCGTTCCTATAAATATTTGATTTTAAAACCTAACTTTTTCAGTTTTTTTACAAATCCCCATCACCACTGACGTAAATGAGTCATTCGGTTAATGACCATTTTACAAAGGACAGAACACTTATCGTGGTTTATAATACAATCGATTTTAATTACACGCATCTCAGATTGACGTTAGATTTGTACTACAAGTTTTTTTAAAGACACGACGACGAGGACGAGGAGATTTTTTTCACCTAATAGTTTTTAGCATAATGACGACTGAAATGAGAGGAAGTGAGTGAATTTTTGTGGGGATGAATATTTTATTGTTGCGTGATTTTAAGCTAATTAGTGGATTAATTAGTTTTATGGTGCAATTATTAATGTGTATTTATATAATTTTCAGGTGAGACGACATCGTCCTCGTGGACCTATACTTGGGAGGATTACGACTTTTGTCAGCAGGAACCACTTCGGGATGAGGAACGCATATTATTGAACACCTTGCAGACTATAGGGGCGCAATGTGAGTGCTATTCTAATTCCAAAATAAATGCAAATAAATTTACACGAAATTAATAAATCCCTTGTCCGTTTAGATAACCCCCAATCGCCTCCTCCACTCTGGGAAAATGAGGGTGAGTTAAAAATCAATATTATTCAAGAAATTATAAATACTTTGCAATAGCAAACATCAGTTCAAAATTTCAAATCTTTATTTTTTTAAGGATTCACATATGACCCAAAAAACCCTGAAGACTCTGCATTCTATCACTACTGCCTCGTTGAGGACAACCAATTCGTCTTTTGTGCGGACCCCAGCGAGTGCAAATGTGACAAAACCCAACTTTATTACAACTTGAGGATCTCGGCCATCTTCACGGAGAAGATGCTCAAAAACAGCATGGGGGCTGATGTGGATCCATCAGAGGTTCAACTTCAACAACAGGCCGTCGCATTCTTGGCGAAACATCTGAGAAACAACTGCGACAAAATATTCAACCGTTCTATCCCATTCGTAATTGATGCTCACATCCTGCGAAGGTTGTGCGACGCGATCGGATCAATTTACACGAGTGAAGGCGAAAGTAAAGAGGAGGACCCAGAGTCAGATCTATCGGTAAGGTTTATTCATAATAATCACCCTTTTGTCAAGTATTATTATTACTATTATGAAAAATGTATAATCATGAATTGCTATCATTTTGCTAATTCCGCCATCTTTTCTTTCTAGATCTATCAAGATCTCGTCTTATTTCTGTCAGACTTTTGCCAACAGACGCCTTCTTTATGTATTAATGTTCCGAAGCCCAAGCCCAAGCCTCCAAAGGTGGATATCCACAACCTCTCTGTCGCGGCGTCATCATCATCAGATATTGATTCGAGTTATGGTGGGAGCGACTCGGCATCAACTTCGACTTCAACTCCAACATCATCCAAATTAAAGAAAAGCACGGGTGCTGAAGCGACAAAAAAAGTCGGCGACGCCGCATCAACTGAAATGGTGGACATCTCCATGTTCAAAAGTCTTCAACTCCTAGAATTGCGAAATACTCCACCCCACCGGATTTCTGGATTGAGCTCTTTGCGAATGAATCTACAAAAAATTAAGTGTTCTCGAAATCTCAAGTCTATCGGTCAAGTTTTGAAGCCACCCAGTAACACCAATATTGCTCAAATTTGGCCTGAACTCCGAGACCTGGACTTGAGTTATAATAAGATTCCGAGTGTATTTACGGAAGAAATAGCAGTATTGGAATTGTGCCCATCACTAGATAATTTAAATTTATCTCATAATCGCATCATCGGAATCGACGATTCTTTCTCCCGTATTTTAAACAGTCTTTCAACCCTCAACTTGTGTTTTAATCAGTTAACTTGTATTCCTCCGATTCCACCCAATGTCAAGATTCTTCTCTTGAGCCACAACTTGATCGTTAATCTCATATCGCCAAAAAACAGGGTCATTCATTCCGACCCATTTAATTTGCTCTGTTCCTTGAAAAACGTGGAAGTTCTCGACTTGTCCACGAATCTCATTTCGAACGAAACGGATCTTGTCCCACTGAAGGAAATGAACAGTTTAAACAAACTCAACATGACCGGAAACCCTATCTCATTTAATTCTGGTTACCGACGCTCCGTGGGTGGCTATCTCAACCGCTACGTGATAAACCGAAAGTTTGAATTGGATAAGAAAAATCTGTCCAGTTCTGAAGTTCGGGAAGCAATTGAGGATTCAAAACAAGGAAAATTCATCCCTTACGTCCCCGCAAGCAGTTTGGCCATCAGTCAAGCAAATTCTGCCATGTCGGCCTCACTGAGTTCAGGGGTATCGGGATCCATGTCGACATCAAACTCGATGCAACGATCCGGAAATAGCATCTCACAATTAAAGAGCATGACTCAATCCTTCGACTCCACGTCCAGTTCTATGCAAAGTTTGAGAAGGAAAAAGCCCAAAATTAGGGAAATTATGTCAATAGATTTCCAAGAAGATAGAGAAAATTCGTACAGTGAAAGTACATCCTCTGCGAAAAGTGGATCCTCTTTCGAGTCCAAGAAGGACAATAATGCAGAAACTACGAGAAAAGCACTCAAAGCTTTGAGGGACAAGTATGGCCCAGAACATTGGCTGCTACGTCAGGCGGGGACAGAGGTCGATCGACTCTTACGTATTCCAGGTCGTCCCATCAATTACGATCTTTTTTCTCGTTCCCTTCCCCACAATTCGAGAGACTTTGGACAGTCTTCCTCTTTTAACAATAGCTTCTCCCCACCCACATCGTCCCTTTACTATGAACGGGCCGTTGCTCAGCAGGAAAGGTACACCAATGAAGAACTGCTGTTGATAAATAGTCGAAAGGCTCGCGTCCCTTCGGAAGACAAAACCCCAGTTGCATCTCCGCCAGGTCTGGTTCCTGGTGCATTGAAAACTGGTGAGGAAGACAACACACCCGACTTCTTCTCATACTTTAGTGCAGATGTGGGCGAAGACGTGTCAATCTTTGACCTGTCGAAAGACGAACCAATCGATGACATTTTTGTCGAAGAGGGGAAAAAGGACGTTAAAATATTCAAGACATTCCAAAACGGAGAGATCTTTAAGCTCATTGTGTGGGACGGATACTTGATGGACGTCAATATGGAGGATAATGTCATCCTGAACAAGTGGGATCTCCATTGTCTGTTCGCTTTGGAGGAGGAGAAGTGCGATGCAGAGACGGAAAGTGTCCAATTTATGTTGAAATTTGACACCATGAGGAAGTCAATGAGAGAGCGGAGCTTCATCATGAGTAGCAAAGAATTCGCCGTGTTTGACAAAGTGGTCAGCCCGTTCATTGAGCAGATGACGCTGCAAGAGTTTACCGAAGCGTAAGCGTCGATTTTACTTTAAACTTTAGCAGACCGTGTCTGATTTATAATTTATGAATTATTTTATTTATCTTCAGGTTGCAATGTGCCAAATGTTTCGCCCAATTTTCGAAAGCGATGGCAGGTCGTACTGTAAAACATGTAAGTTGTTGGCGAATAATCCATACCTGTTTTTCATAGATTCTAATCATTCATTAATAAATGTTAGGAACCTGGAACTGCGCCCAGAGAGGTCAGAATTTGTCCAAATCCGCAATGTGCAAACGACATTCTGCTCACGCTGGATAATATCCCGTTGCCAAATAATGAATGTTTGGATCTGGATTTGGAAGAGGATAGGCTTCGGGGACCGTTAAAAGCGTCAACTCCAGTTTCAGGTGGGACATTGATTTAAAATTAATAATTATGCATGGTTTTAAAAATAATAATTTTGTGTGATTTGCATGCTTGCTGTATGTATATTGTGTGAACTAACAAGAGTTTTGTGTGTGTCAAATTTACATTTACAGGCCGACCCACAAGTTCATCATTCTCTCAATCCATTCCAAAAGGCAAATCTCCAGGAATTTTTAACTTTATGCGACTGCTTCCATCAAGTTTAACTTCGAGAAAAAGTTTGACCAGTAGTGAAGAGATTGTTGTTACTAACCGTAATGTTCCCACCGTTTATGCGGCAACTAGTGTGACGCCAACTTCCAGTGATGGAGGAACGGCCACAAGTAATACACACGTTTTTTTGTCTGATAACTCCTTTTGTGATTTGATATTTTATGAGGAATTTTTATTTATTAATAATAATGTTCTTTTATTAAATTGTTATTTTCAGATACTAAATCTGAATCAGATATCGAGGTTTTAAGCACAGACAGTAGCAGTATCGAAGTTCTGGGGAAACACGGTCCAGATAGCGGATCGGAAGTTGAGTAAGTTGAAGATTAGAGTAATTTCGATAAAAAGTATGAACTAATAACTTGAAATTATGTAATTTATAGTACGGAGGAAGCTATTGAAGTTCCTGTAGTTGACTCCACCAAACTTGGGAATATCGTCGTGCCTCTTTCTGAGAGTACATCATCCTCCTCATGTGCGGACAGCATTGTAACGACGTATGAAAAAAATAATCTGCTTCCAATCTCACAACCGCTAAACTCTCCAAGTAAAATGCCATCTGGGGCATCGTCTCTCTGTACGAATGCATCCTACGCCAGTACATCGACACTTACGACGAACAGTTATAGCAGCCCAGTTCATAACACATGCATGCCGGTTCGGTATGATTATGTCAATTTTGGGAAGACAGATCATCGACTGCAGCTTTGGAGTGATGTTTCCATCTTCAAGTCGGATGAGACGTTGCTGGCATTGACGAAATGTATGATCATCTCAAACTCTTCGTCACACAAAAACTTTTTGGGAATTGTAATCTTTTCGACCAAGAAAGTCTATTTGTACCGAATTACCGGAAATGAAGGGTACCCACATAAATATATAAATTATGTGTATTTTACATGTATTTTAACGTGAATTCAATTCATGTAATAGTGATCGTCCACAAGAATGGTTGCAAAAGGTGACTTCATTCGATTTGGCCAAATTTACCAAACTTGATGTGCTAATTGGACGTCACGGTGTCGGGGTGGATTTCTCGGGGAAATATTATGCCCTCATTTTTCGCGATTCGGAGCGAACTTCTGGATTTCTAGAGTTTTTCATGAGTAAGTAAAGCGTAATTATTTTAATTTGTAATTTTACAGATGATAAATAGAAATATTTCAAGTGTACGATTTTTTTGTAAAGGTGACATTTGTGGCACATTAAAGTCACCTCCGATGGTGCGAGATTTCAGTCAAACCCAAAAAATGATGCTCAGCGCAACAAATCCAATCAGTTATTTTGGAATTATGCGTTACGCTGTCTGCGATAGCCGTAAGCATTTTCTTGTTAATTCTTATAATTGTAATTTGTTAACAATTGAATTGTGTTAATTAGCTGACAACACCTACTCCGTCTCTGCTGTGTTGCTTACAAATGAAGAAGTTTTATTAATAACTGACCTGTCCTGGATGGCTGGCCGAAGTGAAAAGGTTACAACAACTCATGGACGAAAGTTGTCACATCTTCGTCAAGTTGTAAGTTTTCATGACAAAGATTAGCCCAGTTTCTAGATTCTTGTATTTATTGTCTCATTGTTTCTGTGAACAGGAATCACTGGAGTCAGATGCAACCTTTCTACGACTCGCGTTTACGCTAGAACAAGATCGAATTGTCAACTGGGAACTTATATTTGAAACTGAAAATGAACGATCCAGATTTAAAGAGTGTCTCAAATCAGATCTAAATCGGGATGACGTCCCCTTCATTTGTCTCTCTCAGCCATTAGACTCTTAAAACTTCACTTCACTTGTCTACCTACCTGTAATACCTCCATCCCTGGATCGAAGCTATTATTATTATCAATATAGTACAACATTTCCTGTCCTGCAAGTCAATTTAAAACTATGCACTATTTATGCAATTGTAAAGTTACAAAAGCCACAAAATGGTTAACAAACTATTATAAGTATGTAATTATGTCAACAGCAAACAAATCGTGATAGGAAGTCGTCGCTTATTTAGAACTAAGAATTTATGGGTAATATATGAAAGCGATAACGATAATATAAGTGACCGATATTTATACGGAGATTTTTTGTTATAGTCTTCAGTTGCGGATTTTTCGAATACCAAATAATTATTAATATGCAGTCATTTTGTGCGATAATATTATAACGTATGTATTTCCGAGATTTTACTTTTACTTTACGAGAAGGTATTTTAATGTAAAAATAATACTTTCCCTTTTTATTGTGCTTTAAACAATATTTTTTAGACTGGTATGACATTACTTGGCTCAATTTTCTAGATGTATAATAGAATGTCTTGATGTTGCTGCATATAATAAGTAAACTTCATTTGCATTTTTGAAATTTTCCGATTTTATTGTGATAATACGTGGCAGGTTTTTAGCACGGATAGTTTAGCAGCGCTCTAATTTTAATGATAATGAATGAAAATGAATGAAAATTGTGATTATGAAAGATTGAAAATATTCTGAAAGAAAATAAGATTGTCAAGTAAAAGTTTTTTATAAATAAATTCAATTATGCAGAAATGGACATTTGTCAGCGTGGAGCACTTTTATTTAATACGCATTTTATATTTACTGTCCCAGGGCCTTTATCTTCACATGTAAACAAACACATCGGGGTGGGGTCCATCCAAAACAATGTGTATATAATTGGTCTCTTGACCGTGGTCAGAAACATTAGTTTAATATTATTGAAAAATTATTTACTACATATTTCTCATGAAGAAATACTGAGAATTAGATTGTTATCGTAATTTGATAACATCGTACCTGCAAAAGACATGGAGTTTTAACGTGTTTTAACGTCGCAGAGTCTTATACGTACAACACATGCAGAAGGCATGTGTTGTACGGGATTGGTAGTTATACGGCGCATGGATGATGTGACGTCAGCAGAGATCGGCAAAACCTGCTTTCATTATATACCTTTATGGCAACTTTAGAACGAAATCGAATTTCGACATGCGGTTTTCGCCAACCTGTTTCTAATTTTTCAAGTACGGCCGAGTTAGAAGATGGGCATTGTAGATTATAAGGTCATGGCGCCACGGTGATGAGATGAACCTGTCTAATTTTTTGTTTCCACAGTTTTAGACGTAGTTTTGGGCGGGGATTTCAAAAATCGCCATCATTTCGACGTGTGACGACCTCAAAGTAATCCTACGTCGAGGCAAACTGAGATTTTTACAAAAATTTAATCTATAGATGAAATATAGCTAAATTAAGTGTCCCCGCGTTGTTACAGGTTTTGTCTACACCATGTCGAAAACTGGCGGGAACACTGGACTATGGTGCTATGCGATTATACATCTAAATTCCACATTTAATTTGAGTTGGAGTTGAATGTGGGAATAATGCAAATATGCGAGTACGTAGACCTGTTGAGAACAAACATGTAAAATATGCGTTATGCATGATTATCCAAAGTGGCTCGATATAAATGAAGGCAAACCTGCTATACTGTCATGCCCCACATATGGTATTACACCAGCAGCACGGTACGCGATGAAAATAATTAAAAAGTGAATTATGGTTATCTGGGTGGCTTATCAGTCAATTATGATAAGCACCTGCGTCGAAACAATGGATTAATGTTTCATAACTCAACGAATGACGCACAGTTGGAGCACTTTAAAAACAATAGTTTGCAGAAGCATTTAATATTGCGTCGGAACACCTGCAAATTAGTAATTAATGTTTCGTAAGTCAACAAGTGACGCACAGTCGGAGCACTTCAAAAACAATACTTTGCATAAGCATTTAATATTGCGTCGGAACACCTGCAAATTAGTAATTAATGTTTCGTAACTCAACAAGTGACGCACAGTCGGAGCACTTCAAAAACAATACTTTGCATAAGCATTTAATATTGCGTTGAACACCTGCAAATTAGTAATTAAAATTACCTCTGAGGCCCTATTCGAGTCATATAAATAGTAGCTCCGAGGACAATCCTGCATTCATTCAAGTCTTGACTTTACTACAGAAAATGGTTTACCCTGTCACAATGCACACCGTGTTCCAAAATGGAACCACGTCACAATATATTTGGAACGACCGTCCCTTTTTTATCCCAGATCTGAATGCCGTGTTCGTGATGTTTTGTAAGCTGTATAATTTATAACACAATTTCTTTACGAACCAACTGGTCTTATAATAAAAATTAATTAATTAGATGCTTCTGTCAATGCGGCATTATACCAGGGATATGCGGCTTTTCGTATCAACGACCCATTCAACACTCCCCCAGAGTGGAACTCGTTTTTGGATGAGCAAGGTCAGACCCCAGATTTAAATTTCCCATTTGCTTGGAAACGAAGCTACAATTTGCTTGGAACACAATTGTCGGCATTCTACGAAAAAGTAATTCGATCGCACTATTGCCACCAGAAAAATATCACCACCAATTTCATATATTCAAAAAGAGTTTTAGCTCATCTACCCGACTGCTCCACAATAGCAATATGTAACTCAACCAATTGCTTTTATTACGAAACACAAAGCATAGATTTTACTTTACTAAGGAAATCTGGAATCACAAAGAACATGTCTCAACATGATACATGGGCCCAAGAAATTCATGGGTATCGTCAGGCCCATTATGGGTCGACCATTTCCACCAGCATCAGCAACATGTATCCTTTTATGCATGTCGACAACTCTACAATCACCTCCCAGATAAACCAATTTTTTACTTTTCCCGGCTCGAATGAAAGTTTTATCAGAGAAAAGGGCTTATTTGCCCCTGAAGGACATCGAGGAAGGACGTATTATAAGCCTCAAAGTCTATTAGAAGCAGTACGGTCTGCAAAAATTCTCAATGAATTCTCACTCAATTGTAGTGCTGAGAATGCTTCGCATTTTATTGTGGAGTTAAATGGACCCCTCCCTGAGGGTTGTTCATACCTCTCCATTTTTAACGACACCCATATACTCACCTTAACCCTGTTAAGCAACTTCTACGCCCAGAGATACACACGACGATTACAATATTGCACACAGCAAAAATTAGATGCACGAGTTCGAAGAGCAGCAATTGACGCAAGCAACTCAACTGCAAATAATCATAACCGCAACTCGGGACTTCTGAGATTTAACTTACCAGGATATCGGTAAATGTTGCATAAAATTGCTAGTGCATTATTGGTGCATAAAAGAGTCTACAATTTCAAATTTGTGCTATATATATAGTTACTGTGGTCCTGGTACAAATTTGGAAAAAATGTATGATCTTGGGGGTCCAATCAATGCCTTGGGTATACATACGTATGAATTCAATTACAAATAATACATTGACGTTGATTTCAATGCTTAGTAACTGTTTGCAGACTTAGCGTGCCGTGAACATGACAAGGCATACTTGTTAGGTGTTCCCCCTGAAACAGCGGACAACGAATTGCTTGAAAAAGTCCAAAAATTGAGACCGGATTTATTTATTTTATTTTCATTAGTAATGAAAAGCAAGTCTATTTTTGAATCAACAGTGGATAAGAGATATACATCTTCACTGTACTACATTCCGTTCGAGTTCTCCCCTAGCCTGACGTTATTCTTCGCAAGATTTTCATCGTTCGAGGACGAAGGTATCTCAACAAGTAGGGGTGCCGATCTGGAGAAACAATGGATGCAACTTGTTACCGACTTGTGGCAAGGAGTCTGTCACACTGCTGAGTTATATCCGTCATTTCCTTCGTTCTATTTGGTAACTCGTTGTGTAGTTTGTACGATTGAACCAAGTTAATTTTTTTATTTACACTATTGCAGAATGGATCATTACCGATAAATGCGGAGAGTAATATTCCAGTGTCTACGTCGAATATACACACGACCACCAGCCAACCAATCGACACCCGCGTTTGTGCTGACAGCGGTAACGCTGAAGAAGCAAGTGGCCCTCAACCTGAATCCACCGATGATGACACCACGGGGAGGACACCTGCGCAGACTCCAGAGATACCCAGAAGAGGTGGTTTTGAGATAGATGGTCAATTACTGAGCAAAACAAACCTAGAATATCCACAACCACCAGCAGCTTTTGGGAAATGTCGTTTGCTTATATCAGAATTAGTCACTGAAACTAGTGCTCAACAATCTTTCCTTGAATATGAAATGTTGTGCCCATCCAAAAGGCGTTCGAAGCACAAGAACCTTTCTGGATTTTTGACCATCTTTCTAGAAAGTGGCGATATTCCAAAAATTATCGGGACGATTGACCACTCCAACAAAGAACTCGTAGAAGTTGTGGAGACCACTTCTAGCGGAAATCAGGTTACCCGCAAATATTTTGTTGTGGGTGGTGGAGGTACTCAAACGAATCAACAAATTTCCAGAGGAATGTTTGCGGACCAGTATAATTTAGCTATTCCGTCCGCCCAATCGAGAACAATTTTTGTCATTCTAATTTATATTCCTAGTTACATGAAACACATACCAACAGCCAGAAAATTCTGGCTGCCAATCAACAACAATGGAGTTTACGAGCCAAAACCTTTGACAGAAGATCATGAAGGTCTTATCACAAAGTATCTCCAGGACTCTTTACTAATTGGTCAGCCATGCAATTTCGACGAATGTGGTATGTTCTTGAAATGGGCAATTGTAGAAAGCCTTGTTGGAGAAGATAACCTTATATACCCTATACCTGATGTCGAGGGAGCAGTTAAGCCATATCAAAGTCTCAGTAGGTGTAGCTCGACGATGCTTCCTATGCAAATGAATGACTTTGTTGTTGCAACGCCAACACCATCAGCCGAGAATAATTGTCCCAGAGATACTCCGGTGTCATTTCAAAGCCCATTCAATTTTCGTGGCCGGGCATTACAATCAACAGCTCAGCAGATTATTATCAACGTGAAATACTTTTTTGACAGGGCGACAGCTAATTCAGAGCTACTCGTGGGATCGCCCTCGAAATTAGCTTCATTAGCCACAAATGTCAAACTCTGGACGGTGTCAAGGGTCGTTGTAGCACACCGCAACAACGTTCAAATACAGACACCTGGAAAGAAACGACCACGAGAAATGAGGACTTTTAAATTGCTGGACCAATTCAAACTAGATATACTAAAAGCCATGATACAGAAACACTTTCAGAATAATCGCGTCGCATTTCTGGAAGAAATTTATAACGAGTTTATGGCGCGGATGAAGGATGACGACGATGTTTTAGAGGTACAAAAAATAGTTTTTTTAACCAGGAATAAGTTTACATCCAAGTACTATTATTCTAGAGAACATCGTCTGAGCCAATAACGAGATTTAAGTGCTCGTTGTATACGTTTAAAAAGCTGATGCACAAAATTGCGTATAAATTTGGCACAGTTGATCTCCGAGTTGCAATCCTACAAAGAGAAGATATAATTCGATGGCGAGGTCGGTTTCTTAAACGTCTACGAGAAAACGAAAGGGACCCCAACAAAAAAAAAATTATATACACAGGTGCGTACTAGTTCCGTATATTTATATAAAAATATTGTTTTTGTCGGTTTAGTTAATAAATAATAAGCAGACGAAACCTGGGTGGACCCCCACGCCAGAACTGGCAAAGCATGGGTGCCAAGAACATTCAGAAGCTGGCAGGAAAGAAAACTATATACATTTAAGCAAAATAAAATAGGTAGAGGACCTCGGCTAATCGTGCTTAACGCGGGTAAGAGCATAAAATACGTTATATCTAATTATTTTTTGTCGACATTTAAAAGATGGTGGTGAAGATGGATTTGTGGAGGGAGCCATGAAGGTATATCCAATCTCAAAAAAAGATGCCGACGGAGATTACCATAGTAAAGGATAAAACATTACTTGTGGTTTACACTCCCAAGTTTTTCGTATTTTAATGTTACATAATATTTTCAGAAAACGTAGATGGCCCTACCTATCTCGCCTGGTTTCGCAAATTGTTAACATCATTGGAAGGGAAAGGAAGTTTCCTGATTATTGTGGACAATGCACCGTTAAGAATCATAACTTAAACTCATCTTTATACAAATATACTAGATATAAATATATATATATATATATCTAAATGTTTATGCGCTTAATATATTAACTACATTGTACTGTTGTGTCGCTGAAATAGATATCACGGATCTGCCGAGGTACCAGTCTCCAGGGACAAGAAGGGGGTCATGTACACCTGGCTAACGAATCATTGGGATCCAAGCCGCGGCCCCATAAAACCAGAGAAGCAATATCTAAAATGGGAACTTTGGGACATTATTAAGTCGATGAAGGTTGGAAACAAATACTACGTTATTGATAAGCTGGCAAAGGAAGCTGGTCACGAAATACTTCGGTAATGTAGCAAACATATGTAATAGATCGTTGGCATTGTAATAACTCAAAGATTTCAATAGATTACCCCCGTATAATTGCGACCTCTCGGCAATAGAATATGTTTGGAAGGATACAAAGGATTATATCCGGAAAAATAATCTTGATCAAAACCTTTCCACAGTGCAAAGGACGGCAGAAGAAGTTATGAGAAATTATAATACCAGTTATAGGATTGCACATGTCAACCATGTGAAAAGGTGTTCATACAAAGGCTTATTAAATAGAAATAGGTAACTGTGTTAAACTACTTTCTCTAGGTTAGGGGAAGAATACTGGACAAATGATCGATTTTATGAAGACTTAATTGACTCCCTTCCAACGGAAAGATTAATTGTAAGACACATTGCATTTCACGGACTCAATAACTTTCTTATTATTTGTAACTTAATTTAAGATCAACCCGGGCCAAATCGATGACGAAGACGACGAAGACTTCGAATATGACGAAGTTTTTCCCGATCTTGAAGAGTCAATGACAATTCAAAGTATGGTGCATGATTATGAGAACATGGGACTTTCCACTATGTATGGCTATACGGATGAGGATGAATTGGAAATCGAGACAGCAGTGGAAACACCACTAGAGGACCCATCCAGTCGTCGCCAATTATTTGTCCATTCCACTGACGATGATGAAGTACATAAGTATTTACAACATTATGGAAGCTTTTGATACCAAATAAACGTTATAATTTGTATTTTAGACATCAACTATTCCACATGTGAGAAGCCCACATAACGAACTCAGGATAGAATAGAGTTTATTTCATTTTGATTTTTTTGTAATAATTTATTATAATGTTAGTTAAATACATTTGAAATTAAATAATACATTATACATACTGTGTTTACACTATAAATAATTAGTTTTTGAAAATTCACTTCACACCCCCCTGAAGTGTTAATGTTTTTAAATAAACTGCAGCAAGGCCACGTACCCAAGCAACGCAAAATTCTGAGAATGCGATACAAAATAAAGAAATTTTGAAATCTGAATTATTAAAAAAAATAATGAAACAATTAAGGTTCCCTCATTTCATTTATATCGAGCCACTCTGGAGAATCATGCATCATACATGTTTTAAATTTTTGCTCTCATCAGGTCTACATACTCGCCTATTTGCATCATTCTCAGATTCAACTCCAAATAAAATTAAATTTCGAATTTAGATCCATAATCCAGTGTTCCCGCCATTTTTCGACATGGTGTCGACAAACCTGCGACAGCACGGGAACACTTAATTTAACTGTATTTCATGTATATATTCAATTTTTTGTAAAAATCTCAGTTTGCCTCATTTCGACGGAATTACTTTGGCGTCGTAACACGACGAAATGATGGCGATTTTTGAAATCCCCGCCCAAAACTACCTCGGAGCTACTATTTATATGACTCGAATAGGGCCTCAGAGGTAATTTTAATTACTAATTTGCAGGTGTTCAACGCAATATTAAATGCTTATGCAAAGTATTGTTTTTGAAGTGCTCCGACTGTGCGTCACTTGTTGAGTTACGAAACATTAATTACTAATTTGCAGGTGTTCCGACGCAATATTAAATGCTTATGCAAAGTATTGTTTTTGAAGTGCTCCGACTGTGCGTCACTTGTTGACTTACGAAACATTAATTACTAATTTGCAGGTGTTCCGACGCAATATTAAATGCTTCTGCAAACTATTGTTTTTAAAGTGCTCCAACTGTGCGTCATTCGTTGAGTTATGAAACATTAATCCATTGTTTCGACGCAGGTGCTTATCATAATTGACTGATAAGCCACCCAGATAACCATAATTCACTTTTTAATTATTTTCATCGCGTACCGTGCTGCTGGTGTAATACCATATGTGGGGCATGACAGTATAGCAGGTTTGCCTTCATTTATATCGAGCCACTTTGGATAATCATGCATAACGCATATTTTACATGTTTGTTCTCAACAGGTCTACGTACTCGCATATTTGCATTATTCCCACATTCAACTCCAACTCAAATTAAATGTGGAATTTAGATGTATAATCGCATAGCACCATAGTCCAGTGTTCCCGCCAGTTTTCGACATGGTGTAGACAAAATCTGTAACAACGCGGGGACACTTAATTTAGCTATATTTCATCTATAGATTAAATTTTTGTAAAAATCTCAGTTTGCCTCGACGTAGGATTACTTTGAGGTCGTCACACGTCGAAATGATGGCGATTTTTGAAATCCCCGCCCTAAACTACGTCTAAAACTGTGGAAACAAAAAATTAGACAGGTTCATCTCATCACCGTGGCGCCATGACCTTATAATCTACAATGCCCATCTTCTAACTCGGCCGTACTTGAAAAATTAGAAACAGGTTGGCGAAAACCGCATGTCGAAATTCGATTTCGTTCTAAAGTTGCCATAAAGGTATATAATGAAAGCAGGTTTTGCCGATCTCTGCTGACGTCACATCATCCATGCGCCGTATAACTACCAATCCCGTACAACACATGCCTTCTGCATGTGTTGTACGTATAAGACTCTGCGACGTTAAAACACGGTAAAACTCCATGTCTTTTGCAGGTACGATGCTATCAAATTACGATAACAATCTAATTCTCAGTATTTCTTCATGAGAAATATGTAGTAAATAATTTTTCAATAATATTAAACTAATGTTTCTGACCACGGTCAAGAGACCAATTATATACACATTGTTTTGGATGGACCCCACCCCGATGTGTTTGTTTACATGTGAAGATAAAGGCCCTGGGACAGTATGACTAGAGTTCAATATGCTTCATTTCTCAATTTCTTTAATATCTTGATCCGATTGATCCGAATTTTACAAGAGTACAAATACTGGATCGACGGCGTCGACAAGGAGAGACGCCCAATTTTGATCATTGACGTTGGAGAGTGGGACCTTTTCTGTGACTGGACAGGCTAAAAAGTTGGGCCGATATATTGACTCTATTAATGAGGAAATTAACGAAAAGTGAGAACGATGAGATTAGATGTGCTGCAAGTTAGCCCTGGCCGAGATGCAATTTAGCCGTGGCCGTGGCCGAGCCGAACAATTTCAAATCACCCCAAAAATTTCACCTTACCCCAAAAATTTCACTTTACCCCAAAAATTTCACCTCACCCCAAAAATTTCACTTTACCCCAAAAATTTCACTTTACCCCAAAAATTTCACTTTACCCCTAAAATTTCGTTTTACCCCAAAAATCTCGTTTTACCCCTAAAATTTCACTTTACCCCAAAAATTTCACCTCACCCCAAAAATTTCACTTTACCCCAAAAATTTCACTTTGCTCCAAAAAATTTCATTTTAACCCAAAAATTTCACTTTACCCCAAAAAATTTCACTTTACCCTAAAAATTTCGTTTTATCCCAAAAATTTCATTTTATCCCAAACATATGTCCCTCAAAATATTAATTTACCCCAAATATTTCATTTTACCCCAAAAATTTCACTTTACCCCAAAAATTTCACTTTACCCCAAAAATTTCACTTTACCCCAAAAATTTCGCTTTACCCCAAAAATCTCGTTTTACCCCAAAAATTTCAATTTACCGTAAGTTGAGATGCCAAATAGGCTGGGGCAAGTAGAGATTCCAAAAAGTTCTAGGGCAAGTTAAGACCGGGGTATGTTGAGACTCCCGAGGCAATCTTAGGTGTGACTAGACTCTAGAGGCAAAATAAGACAATGATACTTGAGAGGTAAAATGAGACTTGGTGTGCTATATGGTATACGCATACATTTCAGATTAAAAATGAGGCATTGAATCAAATTTTAGAAGACTTACATTATAATTGTTGTAATGAAATGTGAATCCTAACCTTCTCGAAAATTAATCTGAGTGAAGGTATTGGGATAGGATACAAGAGAAAGTGGTTCCTGCAAGGTAGCGTTTTGTTTAGTACAATATCCTGATAAACTTTCTAAAGCACTCAGACTCGAATTTTTGATTCCCCCTCTCCGTTGATGGTCACCCTTAAAGAGTAAGGTTCATTGACTGAAAGTGATGGTTTTACCCTCTAGACTTATCACACACCAAGATCACTGCCAGTCTCTCTCTTACACACACACATACACAAACACACGCAGACGTTGTTGTCATCATCATTATCATGACATCAGCATCAGCACCTGTGAAAAGAGATATGGTGGAGAGGAGATAGCGACGAAACGTATGGAGAAAGTGTCAACCAAGTGCCAACCCTGGATGCGTATGCATCCAAATGATGATGATGATGTAACCGTGACGTAAATAATAACAAGTATGATTACGTATAGTTATTATGCACTACTAGTTTTTTATGCATCACACTTGGGTATGCGGTCTTCACTTTGTTTCTGCACATGTACTTACATATTGTGGTCAATTTCATCATGATAAATAATACACCTAGATTTATGTAGATTGATCTAGAATAATGGAATAATGGAATGGAATAGAATAATTTGTCTCATCTCCCAACTGAACATGGCGTCTCCCAAGATGTGTTTCCTGATTCATGTCATCGTTGAACTTCTCCTTTTTCAAAAAGTCTCTAGTTTAAATTTTTCTTACATAGAGCGAGATTGCATTTCATTTCTTGACATACGTAATGGTACCTTTATTAAATCAACGTGATTGCCTCCTCTTTATCAGTATACTTGTTTTTAAACTCAAACTTTTCATCAATTAATAAACATGTATTTGTACTGCATGCATTTTGTCTGGTAATGTACGTTGAATAAAACTAATGTGTATGTCTCACTTTGTCTGAAAGAAATACTTATTTTCAACGATTTTACAAAAGATTCATACGCAGAGCAGAACCGTCTCCATCTCCACCAATTATCATCTTTTCCAGCATTCAAATATGCATTACACAATTTATATTCCATTTATTCTAGGAGCCTTTGCAGGGTTGCACTCGTTTTATAAAACAAAATTGACAGAACCAAAGGCAGAAGTAAAGGAAGCTCTCTACTAACTTCCAGCGTATTATTTGCATAAATTCACAGGGAATAAATTTGCAAGAAGAAGGACCATTGTGCATTTTCATATTATCAAATTTCTTTTGATCTACTGGTAGGTGCGTGCCATAAAGAAATTGGATCACGTATATTAAATTATTAAGTATTTTGTAGTATAAAAATACAAAAATATACAAAAGAAAACAACGGATACAGATATATATTTGTATGTATTGATTGTTTCTCCAGAAAACTATTTCCCGTACCATTAAAGGATAAAACAAACAAATATGTTTTAATAGCACTAAAGAAGACGTTAAAAAATTTTAATCCGTTGGTAAAATATGCTAATTCTGACGCAGGAAGCGAGTTTACAGGTAGATCGTAGATCGAGTTTTTCTATACAATATGCATCCTCTTTAGGAAGAAGGGTCTTTTTCATTTCCAAGAAAAACTCCAGCAATTCACATTCGAATATAAAATATGTAGACATGAGAACCATTCTGTCTCCCTTCACCTTCTGGGTCCACATTTCTTGCTCTCACACACATTTTAAAGAAATAAAGCTCTCTTTTATTTATATATGCATCCTCCTATTAAATAAAAGGTTTCTAAATTTGTATGTGGAAAATAATAATTGGAATTATGTTATTATTATGTGTATTGAATTATGTGTATTTTAGTAAGCATATGATACCTCAGCATATCAAAAGATCCCCTTTTCTCAATTTGCATCGATTCAGTTAAGTTTCATATTGTCTGAATTTGTCAAATCTCAAACCAAAGTCTCAAAGTTTCAACATACCTCACAATGCAAGTCTTTTACGTGTACAACTCAGATCTGGTTGGGACCAATTTTATTTTGTTCACCACAAAAAATAAGAGTACCAGTATTTTTTCATTTGAGCGCGGGGCGCGAATTTTAAAACATTTTTCAGCCAAAACCTCGCTTTTTAAAAATTCTGTAAATTTTCGAATTTTAGCGCGAATCCAAAAATTCGAAAAAATGTCTCTTCAGAATAACTTACTTGACTTGTTAAAAATCCACATGCATTATTTTTTGAAAAATTAAAAATTTGAAGGAGTTTATAATTTTAATGAATTTCAAAAACTGGCAAAAAATTTTGAAATTCAAATTTCGAGACAATTGGATTTTTCG